CCCTTTGAAAAAATCTTTTTTTTGAGACAGATTTTTTTTACCTAATTTTTAAGGCCATATAATCTCGAACATGACGATCATGAATATGAAAAAATAAATAACTTTTAAAAATAAAAAATACTAGTTTTTTTAAAGAAAACATTTAGGGCCACACATCTGTTTTTAAAATAGATACTTCGTACCGGGTGTACAAATATAGGAGACAGTTTCTATGTGAGGCCCGCTCGCATATTGTAGAAATGCAGGCTTGGCAATAAATATATTTTTTAAATATAATTTGATCCTAATTTATAGAGAATATATAATCTTTAACATGGAGATTATGAATATGAAAAGAAAAATTGAAAACTAAAAATAATACTTATATTAAAAAACATTTAGACCGTTAATTACACTTGTTTTTAGATGGACGGCTTATTTGCATCCATCTTTAAGACGAATGCTTTATACCTTTGGACTGCATGGTGTAGAAATTTGGTCCAGCTTGCATGAAACAATTTTTCAACTGGAAGTGCGTCTCGTTATCCATGAAACAATTTTCATAATATTTTGCAGTTTGAAAATCTAATTTTTTATTTAATCAGAAAATTTTAAGCTTAAAAAATGGTTAAAAGCAAGTAAATCTATAAACATATGAAAATCTTAAAAATTGACCGTCTAGATAATGTGTTGCAAGATGTATTTTTTTTATCTTCATAAATATCGGCATGATCAATTAGAGGGTTTTTCATCATTAAAACATTTTTAAAAGGATTTTTTAGGGCATATGTGATTCTACGTTCTAGCAACCTTAGATAAACTTTTTCCAATTCTGAAATTACAATCTTAGAGCCCCTTACCCATTCCGAACCGGAAAAACAAGGAGTTATTCCGGTTCGGGTTATTCCCTTCCAGCCTCTCCAGTTTCCATACATATAAATAGGCATAAATCACAAACCTAATCCATTTCCTCTCCCTCCAAGTAGCTATGGGTTTATCATGTGTGGGGGGGACGCTGCATGCTCTAAAGCTTGCAACCATTCCTGCGATGACCTTCTCTCTCTCTACAATAAGAATGGGAACAAGGGGCCTCCTACATGGCCGAATATGGTCACCCATGCCATTAATTTGTAGAGCATTTTCTTCAAATGCTGTTGAAGTGCCCTTGACCAGAGAACCTGAACTGGGTCAGTCTCAAAGCTCTCATCTTTTTTAGTTCTCTCTCTCGCTCTCTCTCTCTCTCGCTCTCTCTCTCTCTCTCTCTCTTCCCTCTTCTTAGCTCTCGCTCTGTGCGTGTTTCCTGAGGTGGGTCTCTTTCAATATCGCCATATATCAAGTTTCGTTCTGTTTTTTTTGGAAAATTTCTGATATGCGTATGGCTGTGTTTCTTCTCTTGGATTTGTCTTTATTACAAAACCTGCATTTCTTCTTAATGTTGCTGAATTGGGTGTCTCCTGAAGCCTTCATTTTTGCATTCTCAACCCAGTTATATATTTGATTTTTGATTTTTTTTTGTGTGTCTCAAAACCTTTTTTGATTGTGCAATCATTGCGCAATTTTTTTTTGTTAATTTCTATTTTTTTTGATGAGCTTGTGTATGTATGTTTCTCACCTCTTGCCAATGTCTTAAGGTGTTTTTTAGGATTCACAGTACTTTTATATCGTTTTTTGAACTTAGTATGTCTCAGAAATTCATCATCTCAATCATCCTTTTTTCTAATCGTCAAGATAATTTTAGTTTATCTCATTGTGGATTTTTTTTATTTATTTGTTTTCTTTTTGTTTTGTGTATTCTCTCCTGAACAGGGTCAATATTAAAAGCTGCCATCTTATAATATCGCAGTCATTATTTTCCATGAATTTTCATTTTTTTTTGTCTCCTTATCTCAAATGGGTCTTCATTGGAAGCTGCACTTATCTGTTTTAAAACACCGTTCCCCTTTCACTTTCGCTTTTTTATGCTGGGCTGGTTCTATGTTGAGAATTTCCTTTTCCTATTTAAGCAACCATGGTTTTACTCTTGCATTTTTTTTGGAAATTTCACCAAGTTAGGTCTGTAGCAGAATTTCTCTTATCCTATTAATTTGTTCTCTTTTTTATTTCTCTAATTGTCTGTTTTCTTTTCAAATGTGGATTAGTGGTGAAACCCCAGTGGAGAGCTAGCATTGACTTCAAATGGGTACGTGACAATAAAGAAATCGTTGCAGCAAATATTCTGAACCGAAATTCCACCACAGATTTGGAGCTTGTGCTTAACCTTTACGAGCAATTCTGCCGTCTCCAAAAGGTTAGAGTTTAATGAGCTTTTTTTTTTCTAAAAAAAAAGGGAATATTTTCTCTTGTCTTCTTGATTCTCTTGATGTATGGTAGTCCAATCATGCTTTTTCTCTTTGTTTTGGTTGATTAATGTGACAAAGGAAGTACCAAAAAGGACAAACAGAATAAAGCTCTGATGGAAAACATTGAGTTCGTTTATTCTATCCTTAGCAATTCGTGTGAATCTTATACCTATTAGATAACCTTTTCTGATTTTGATTTGTTACTGAAAAATCCAAGTTTCCAATTTTAATGTATAACAGAGAATCCTCTGTAATAGTAATGGACATTTCTTTATCAACAATGCGTGCTGTGTGCTATTCATGAAGTCTATGTGAGACTTGTTTGAACCCCAGTTATGCTTTTGGGGTATTTTACTGCATTCACTGAGGTTTTTGGTTAAAAGTTATCTAACTTTTGAACACAGATGACAGGAAGTAGAACGAATGCGTGAAGAAAGAAATGCAGTCGCAAATAAGATGAAGGGAAAACTGGAATCTTCAGAACGACAAGCACTTATAGAAGAAGGTAATTATCAATTCTGTTATCTCCTTAGACTGTTTTACAGTGTGATTTTTTTAAAAATTTTAAATTATCTAATATACTACCTAGAAAAATGAAGTCTAGTTTGTGGTTCTAAGGACTAATTTTTTTGTTGCAGGGAAGAATCTGAAAGAGGGGCTTCTCGCTTTGGAAGAAGATCTCGTTCATCTCACAGATAAACTTCAACTGGAAGCCCAATGTATGCCTAATATTACACATCCAGATGTTCCTATCGGAGGAGAAGATCAGGCTGCTTTGAAAAAAATGGTATACTCTTTGGGAAATTATATCAGAATTCAATGGACTGTGCAAGACCATACTCCGTGGGGGTCATCAGCATCTGATAAAATGATGGAAGGTGATGGAGAGTGGATCAACTATGGGAATCATATCCTCCCTCTCTCTCCATCATTAATCATTTAATGATACGGTGATGACTTGAATGGAATATGGTTTCCATTGACCACAGGAAAAAGTATACTTTTCATGCTCTTTGACTCCCTGCCCACCCAAATGGAAAGGAACTGATAATATCATTGGGAATAATACAATGTAGACAAGGAAAGGAAAAAAAATGGTTTGTATTCTACAATTTGAATGCTAAATACTTCTTTTCAACTAAAGAAGCTAGCTGAACATGATTTCTCATGTTCCTTAGGTTGGAAGTCCCCGCATGTTTAGCTTTCCTGTAAAAGATCACTTGCAACTTGGCAAAGAACTGGATTTGTTTGATTTTGATGCTGCTTCAGAGGTGTGTTTTTCTACCTCCATTCATAGCTTTTCGCATTGTTTGGATTCCTTTCTCATTAAGTTTCTCTTTCCTGAGTGCATTGGAGTTCTTTTAATTGCAATAGCTGTTGAGTTAATTTTTGCATTATTATGGAGGGGTTCCATTGTATTTCTTGTTCTAATGTTCTATCACAACTCATGCTTTCTTATTTTGCGGCTACTATAGTACCTCATCATGAATTGGAGGATTGACGGTCTTTTAGTATTATAACTTTGAGATTATAACAATGTGAATGGCAGTCTGCCATCTTTAATGTGGTTAGATATTATTTTATACTGGTTTTTGAAAACTTGCGAACTCGGGCTCGGACTTGCCTGAGTCGCTTGGACCTTTGTTCTGTTGAAAAACCTTGGAAACCAGCTGTCTCGCTGGCTCCAGAGGTTACCTTGTTATTTTTTTTTCGTAGACTTGGCTGATTCAAACCAGCTGACTCAGGCTAATGCTCTGCCCTGTTCAGAGCCCTATTCCGTGTTTTCAACCAATGTATGATACATTAGAATTGTTACTAATATTACTAATGATATGGGGCATGTTGAGGAGGGATATCCTTATAGTAGAAAAAGATGCAACATTGTTCATAATTCAGCAAAAGAAGAAAGCATTAACGAAATGATGAACATCTGATCCGCATATTGCATCTGTTACTTCATGGGATCCTCAATAAATAAATAAATATGTGTGTATTACGTGGTTGGCCGACCACCTAGGGTACATGACTGAGCCCTTTGTTCAGATTTTCTTTAGTCACCCCCAAGATCAAATGTATAAAATAAAATATTTGAAGCTCAAAAAATACTGCTGGTCTGTTCCCCCTCAAAGTCTACTTCTAAACGGTCTGTTGAGGGATGATATATTTAGGGTTTCAAGGGCTCGAAATCTTTTTTATTTTCTCATGGAATTGTTGACATGGTGAAACAAAGATGATCTGAGAATTTTCAAACTAAAAAAAAAGAGAACCTTAAGTATGTCTCTTTGGGGGCTAGACCACCTAATTAGATGGTCGGGCTATACCATATAATATTTTCCTTATAAGTATAATGCTTTCCACTGATTGTTGTGTGTCTAGTTGAGAATTTATACAATATTGATAATGCATGTCCATCTAGCTTCCGTTTTGTGGTTTAGGCATTTTATGCATCGATTATGCCCCATACACACAGGTAAGTGGGTCGAAATTCTACTACTTAAAGAATGAGGCTGTTTTGTTAGAAATGGCCCTCGTTAACTGGGCACTCTCGGAAGTTTCAAGAAGGGGTTTTGTGCCTGTGACCACCCCAGAGATCGTGCGGTCCTCTGTGGTCGAGAAGTGTGGTTTCCAACCTCGTGGACAAAATACACAGGTTCATTAATCTGATTTCATCTTTAGTTACTTTCCTTTTCTGATTAATTCATGTGTATTTCCTTTTTAGATTATTGAATGTCTGAGCTGCTGGGATGAATGTTACTCCACTCTTCTTTTTCTTTCTCTCGCTTTCAAACAATTCTTCTTGCCCCCATCTCTCTTTGCACCAATTTGTTCTCTACTTTGGAACCCTGCCTGCTCGCCCCTCTCATAAACTGCAGGGATGAGATGATTTACTCAGGACTTTTCAAATGGTAGCAATGTTAACAAAATGGTCCGAATAATTGGTTGATGCGAGGAAAGAAGAGCCAAATATTCACAATTTATAAATTTTGTAAAGTTATAAATTTTGTGAAGTTCTTATTTTGACCCCAATTGGTTTTTATTTGAAACTGTTTTCATTGATGTTTTTGCTGTTACTCTCTGTTATTTCCTACCTTCCATCCAAACAGATTTTTTTTTTTTCCGTCGCTTCAGTAAAAGGGCATCAGAGAAAGGCTTGAATGTTGTAGTGTAATGCTGCCATGAATTTAAAATACTTTTATAAAAAATAAGGCTCAAAATTATGAAATGTCAATGGTTCACTGAAACAGGTCTATTCTATTGAAGGGAGTGACCAGTGTTTGATAGGAACTGCAGAGATTCCAGTGGGTGGGATTCATATGGATTCGATCCTAGCAGATTCAGATTTACCCCTGAAATATGTCGCCCTTTCCCATTGCTTTCGCACTGAGGCTGGTGCTGCTGGAACTGCAACGCGGTACACTATCATACTTAATACTCTGTTTTTACTAGTGTATTCTATTCATCCTTTTTTGGGTTTTCCTCTTCTTTTTTGTTGGGAGTGTTGATTTAGTTGTATGGCTGCTTATTTGGTTGGTATGTAAGTGCAGAGTAATGATTTCTGTTGTTTCTATTTTGGCTGCAAACGAGAAAATCTTTTGATGCTCCTTCATGAGCATAAAAAAATGATGGTCCCCACCTTAAGTTTCACTTTTAAGGTGAGGGACTCAAAGAACTCCAAATGAATCTGCATTTCAAAAGCAATCTCCTCTAAAGAAAATTTAATTTGGATCTCCAAAATGCTCCAACTCTAATGCCACTCCAAAAAGTCAAATCTAAGCCTTCCATTTGAATGGACATTGGATTTAAGAGGTCTGGAGCTTTTTAGGAGCTCCAAATCAAATATTATTTGGAGAAGTTTGATTTGGAGGTGATTTGAAGGTTTTTTTTTTTTAGATCCACCTTGAAAGTGTTTTCTGAGGTAGTGGAGCACCATTTTTTTGGAGCTCCTACAAAGTTTCCCTGGTATGCCATATCTCTGCAACAATTTTTTACCATAATTGAAACATTTATTTTGTGAAAATAAACAATATTAAATATTTACAGAACATATGATAATTTAATATTATCTCTTAATGAATGGGAAATGAATGCTTATTTCATATAATCATGGTGAGAAACTTTATGCCTGAAATCTCTGTCCACAACATCTAGTTCCTGAGAGGAGTGAACTGCTAATTGAACCTGTAAACCAATGTCCTTTTTGGTTTACAAAACTTGAAGGCATTTTCAATTTCATTTGTTGAAGTTAGTTTTTAAAAGAGATAAGTGATTGCTTTTCTATTTCATGCCCAAAAATTCATGTTTTCATTTCAAAGGGATTTTTCCAGGAATGCCTGTTTTCAATGAAATTTTTATTCTTGCAATTTATGTCAAATGGTGTGCTTAGTTTGGTGTACTTTTAGTAATTAATGTTGATATGATAATTATTTATTGGAACCAGGGGCCTTTATCGAGTCCACCAGTTCACCAAGGTTGAGATGTTTATCTTGTGCCATCCAGAGGAAAGCGATAACTACCATGAGGAATTGATTAGCATTGAACAAGAACTCTTTTCATCTCTTGGCCTGCATTTTAAGTAATAATGTATTCCCTTTTAAACAGTTATCCATCCATTTGACTTTTTTGCACCATTTTTTCTTCAGTATTCGTATAAACATGTTTATCTGGTGTTTGCAGAACACTGGACATGGCTTCTGCGGATTTGGGTGCCCCCGCATTCCGGAAATATGACATTGAAGCATGGATGCCAGGTCTGGGACGATATGGCGAGGTGTGTTTTTTTGGTTTGCGCATAGTTTGATAATTATGTCTAGTGTGATCAACATATTTCTGTGCTAGGCATTTAAGCAAAGAAGCGGTCGATCTTTGTGTTTCTCCTTTTTTAAACCAATGCTATCAGAATTGTACCTGCCATGGAATTAGCTAGGGTACTTGTTTAGCCAAAACCGCTCCAATTGTCAGTCGAACCTGTTGGACCGGGTTTATAAAAACATGAAAATAATAGGAAGAATGACTTAATGACATAGTTTACATAAAAAGTTACTCCCTTTTATTTAGCTAATCCAATTGGTCAAGACCAAATAGTTCGATTGGTTAAAACTAGTGAAGCATTGGTTTTGATTGATGCTCAACCCACCTGGTTTTTGTGTTGGACTAGATTGGTCAAGACACTGATCAACATCCCAACCGGTCCGATCGGCTGGCCTAGTCTTGATAACAATGGCTTAAACAAAATGGTAAATTCATTCCATAATGCAATTATTTGCTCTATGGCCATGGGCAATGATCTTATGAGACTGATCCCATGCAAAACATTTAGGACATTGAACTCACAAATGCTCGCGGCCTGTTACAGATGGCTGGGGTGATATATAACTCCCTTAACAAGCACCTGGAAAACTTTTGGCGGAGTTCCGAACCATCCTGATCATTGGTAGTAGGCTTTCCAGTGGGGGTGACCACTGTCCTACAATTAAAAAAAAAAAAGTGGGAGAAAAGCCATGGTCTTTACTTAATTTTGTCCGAAAATGAAACTATCAAAATAGATTTTCTGAAAATGAAGGAAAATACCACTGTCCTACAATTAAAAAAAAAGAAAAAAGTGGGAGAAAAGCCATGTTGTTTACTTTATTGTCCAAAAATGAAACTATCAAAATAGATTTTCTGAAAATGAAGGAAATCAAGACAATGATTTTGACTTCAGATATTAAGTGCTTCAAATTGTGAACTATTAATTGTCCAAAAATGAAACTATCAAAATAAATTTTCTGAAAACGAAGTAAAGACGATGATTTTGATTTCAGATATCAAGTGCTTCAAATTGTACCGACTATCAAAGTCGACGATTAGGCATCAGGTATCGACCAGCTATGACAGAGCCACCTCCCACCAAGCTAAAGAAGGGAAAGGGTGTCACAGGCCCCACACGATTTGTGCACACTTTGAATGCAACTGCATGTGCAGTGCCCCGGATGCTGGTGTGCTTGCTTGAGAATTTCCAGGAAGAAGATGGATCTGTGATTATACCCCAAGTTTTGAGGCCCTTCATGGGTGGGTTGGATGTCATCTCCCCTAAATTAAAATGATTTGTTTCTAGGTTTATTTATTGAAATTAGTTCTCTATATATTTTTGGTTAGTAAACTGTTTATTTTGTTCTCTTTGATCCCCATCTTAATTGTTTTGGATGTCGAATCTCTTTCTTATCCACAGGCAGGCATGCATTTATTTTTGGCCATGGAATTTTTTATGCAACTGATACGATACTTGCATAGTTATGTCAGAGGGGCCTATTTAATGAATCGATGTAAACTTTTGTGCAAGTGGTTATTCTTTTGTAGTTGTATGTTACAGGCCAGGTTCAACAGGACTGCTAAATTTGTCATTTTTATTGAAGGTTTCCAATAAATTTGAATTCAAATATTTTTAAGAAACTGTAATCTCCAGAACCGAGCAACAATATTGAAATGCAGTTGGGTAATATCATGGCAAAAGATCAGTGAAATTGGGAAAAATGTGGCAGCTGTGGTATTAGAGTAAACTCCAAAGAAACACCATGGAAAGAGTGTCGAATTTGCCCATTAGTTACTGTGATTTATTTTACTCAATAGTAGTATATTCTTTTTCATTTTTTTTTGTTGGGGCATGTTAATAGTAGGAATGGAGGGTGGGAAGTTATGTTGATGCATCAGACCCCCCTAACCACCAATGCCCCAACCCCATTCCCAAAATTTTGTAAATTTTTTTTATACCATAATTTCAGTCTCAACAAATAGCCCAAGTTATTGTGGTCTTCCATTGAAATATATGCTAAATACACATTGATCTCCTAAGCCTTGTTTCTTGTCTACAACAAATCCACCTTAAAAAAAAATTTAGGCAAGAAAAGGAGATTCCATTAAAAAGCTCGTACTTTGGTACGTTTTTAGCTTAGGTAGGGTGCCATATAACCACATTAAAATGGATTAACATTGAATGCGCCCTAAGGTTTGGCCATCTTGGGAGCTGCAAATCCCAAATCTCAACCATGACAACAATATGTATCAATTAAGAAAATCGTATAATTTGCATTATGCACCTTAGACAACTCACAGTTTTGATGCATGGGAAAGAAATAGTACTTTAGACAACTCTCAATCTATATCAATTAAGAAAATCGCGTAATATAGATTGCAATATACACCTTAGATAACTCTACGATAACCATTCTTTTTATTGTGCATTGAGATTAATGAAATAGTACTTAACATTAAAAAAGAATGTACGATAATCATTCTTTTCATCGTACATTGAGATTAATGAAATAGTACTTACATTCAAAAAGAAAAAAAACAAGAAAAAAAAAAAAAGAAAAAAAAAATATTTGATTCAGTACAAATACGTGTAATATGGGTCCCATCATTGCCCTTTTTCACCAGAAGAGGGGCAATTTTGCATCATCCCTCTTAAACAATCATTGATGAGGAAAGTCAAAAGTCATAATCCTATTGGACAATTTATATAAGGCTGCAACCTAAAGATGTAAAATTAAAGATGCACCTCAAAAATTGGAAAATGTTGTTTTAATGTTAAAAAACCTTTTAATTGATTCACATCGAAATATACGAATATGAAACAAAAAAAGATTTTAAGTCCCACAAATCGTGCATCTTGCAACACATTATCTAGACCGTCTATTTTCAAGATTTTCATATGTTTATATACCTATTTGATTTTTAACATTTTTGGACTTTAAAATTTTATAATTAGATGTAAACATAGACTTTCAGATAATCCTAAGAATTTTTTACACCAAAATTACATATTATGATAAATTTGGAAGTGCGCCTTAATTGGATTGTTTAATGTTGCAACCTTACTAATCTAATTCTAAACTCTCAGATATTGATGCATAGAAAAACATCTCAAATGTTTTTTGTCTTAAAATTCCCTTAATTTTTATCCTTTTTCTTTTATAAATATAATTAACTAATGTAGGGATTTGACACTTTGGGTAAACAATGAACATTATGGTATGTTATATTTATTACTGTCGTTAATTTAGAGGGTTGAGCCACAAAAAATCTGCAATAAATATTACGCGTTAAAATATATTTACAGTTTTCCTCCCTTTACATGTCATTGTAGAATGTGTCGATCTCTTTCTGTTATTTGCTTTAAACTTAGCCCAATATGTTTCTTGTAGCAAAAGATGTCGTACTTAGTTTGCTTTTTAGGCATGATTTGTAAACAAAGAGGGCAACTTGTGGAAGTCATACACCTTGTATCCTTGTTTCACAAAGAAAATACCATTTTAAATTACAGTAAGCAACGCATAGAATTCATGCTGCAAATCGAACCGTCAACACTGATCACTATCCAATGAAAGCCATCTCATTTTTTTCGTTTTTTTTTTTGCACACAAACATATACCAGTTGTTATGAGTAAGATATAAGCTTTGGTTGAACCTACTACCCAAAAGGAATATACATATTTGGTTAATAATTGAAAAATACTCTTCCCATACCTAAAACATTCAAAAGCGATTAATTTTGTGATTTTTTTTTTGAATTGAGAAAATTTGGTAAGTTTGTAGAATCACTCCAAACCTTACCATATCTTATTAGAATCACTTTTAGAGTCCAAGTGTATGATTTTATGAAGTATGGACTATGGAATATGGTATGGACATTAAATCACTAAAATATTGTGGACTTGTTTTTGTTTCTCAATGTTTTAATTAATTTTCAAATAATTTGAATATATTTCAAAATTCATGTAGATATTTTGAAATTAAAATGTTCGTTAGAATACATGTAAATTCATAAATATCCATTTTTGACACATTTGTATATATGTGTGTTTTTACCGCACATATATACGCATGTGCAAATCTAGAATCTTAGGGCGCCTAAGGTTTTGAGCGGCCACCTAGGCGCTGGACGTCCTAGGCCGGCCCAGGTGCCTAGGTGTCGCTCAACATTTTTTTAACCTTGATAATAATGATAGTAACAATGATGATGATGATTAGTAGTAACAACAACAATAACGACGACACCCGCAATAACAACAACAACAATAACCAATGATGATCTCTCTCTTCACTGATTTTCATCAAGAAAAACAAAAAATTGACAATAATTACAAATAAAACAATGACTGCGTCCAATGCAAAAATGGACACCGGTTGAGGTAAGGGTGAAATCTTCTATAATTTCAGCTTGCTTAAATCGACCTTTTTCACAGGATATGTGTAGGCCTCATAATTGATTTTTTGGCCAAGGCAACCGAGTTTTGTGAGTGTAGTAATAAGATCCACCTGAATACCAGAAGATCTCAACTGTTTGCAACAAAACAAATTTAAAAGAAAGAGGAAATGTTTCTTTTTTGCTACTTATCATATCAATTAATTCTTGTTTGCTTTTCAAGATATTACTTGGACTTTACCTCATAATCAGTTTGTGACACTGTTTCCCGGCTATTTTGGTATTTCTTAACCCATGGGGCTACATCCGGATCAGAGGCCAGATATGCCTCAGTTGCTAATTGATCTGGCCCAATAAATGCAGACATGACAGCAAGCTGGAGCATTAAAAAGCAAACCTATAAATATATTTATTTAAATGAACATTAATAAAAAAAGAAATAAATAAGTACCTGACGAGGGCCAAAGCCAGCAGCCGCAAATTTATCCTTCATTTCTTGAACAGATACTTTGTCCCATTGAGGAATCCTACCTTCAGGGTCTGGTGCATCAGAATCAGTTCGCCCAAATTGTCTATCGAACAAGCCCCACTAGAGAATCAAAGTAACAAATAACCACAATGATGTTTGGCATGATTTGTAATCTTAATTAAGAGAAAAACTGATTAGTTTCCATGGGTGATAAGAGTTTCTACACATGCATAGGCATACACAGGCTAGTATGCAACAACAATCCAAGCAGATATTGCCAAACAAGTCTAATGGGAGTCAAGTTCAATACGTCATCAGTATTCATACAACACATAGGTTTATGAATCCATACTACTGCCATCATATGCACTGGGCCAATAGTAGGCACAAACTTGTGGGCCGCATGCTTTTGATATTTGTTTTGTTCGGTCAGTTCAACCATGAAAGGTGTTTGATGAACGACTTTCTTTCTTTTACTACCATTAACAGAATTACTGTCCTCACCGCGAAAAGGTGCATGACCAGAATTCAGAAGTTAAACTAGGTTGGCTAGTTATATATTACATGTACTATAAGGAAAGATTAGAAATGATACCTGGCCACTTGAACCATATGCAGTGTATAATAGTCTTCCCTTCTCTTCATTTCCACCGCATTTGCGAATTGCAGCATCGAGGAAGGTCTTCTTCACAGCTGCCTGTGCTGCAGTCATAAGTAGCAAAGCCAATACAACTGTAAGGAGGCCTTAATGCTTCAGTTTTCCTCTTTTTTTCTTCTTCCAATTTTTCTTCTTCCTAGTAAAATGTGTATGCATGAAAAAACCAATGGCCCAAGTGCAACCATCTTTGTGGAATTAAAGTTAAAACTGTTGCATCTCTATCTCACCAGATAATGATTAACATAACCCAGACACTGCTTAGTTACAGCTATAAGCAAACTCCTACCAAGGCTTTCCAGAGAGAAATACCTTAAAACCATCTCAGTTCAAGACAATCATGAAATCTGTTAATAAAACAAAAATTTCATAAATTAAGATTTGGATTCAATATTATTGAGATGCACAATCAAGCTCTCTTTGGGATTTTGGATTCCTGTTGAGCGGTACTAAATATCATATTGTAATATTTAGGTTTATATGAATACAGATATAGAGAGGTGGTTTAGTAAGTTGGATCTTTTACAGCTTGCCAATCTTTTGGTTAAGAATGTTAAATAGAAAAAAGTACCTTGAAGAAAATGGGGTCTAACTAGCCAAATATTATATTTACCCAAAGAGTGTCTGCCATTTTCATTGATATGTAATCTCCATTAGAACATTTAACACCCATGTTGGGGTAAGGTCGCAACTCTTTTAAGTCAGATAGGTTGAAGCATCAAGAATGCTAACAAAGTGGTGAGTGTTTGCACAATAACAGCAAATAAATATCTGCCACTATCTAAATATTTAACCCCACTATCTTAACATGCCGACTAATTTGATATAAGATGCAATATATCACCAGCATATTGGATGAGGTCTGAAAATGAAATGGGCCCCCCCTTGGAATTGGAATCTATTTCCTTTTTAGCTTGCTCCAAAAGATTCAATGCAGATTGAAGCCCACTGTTTTCAGCTCTATTTATTTCTGAGCTGCATGCATAAACAACAATACCAATTTTTTATAAATTATTTCGTGAAAAATAATACGCAAAAATGTCATGCTAGAGTGCTGCAGAAATATAATTCTCATATTTACACAAATATTCATAACAATCAATATCGACTTGTTATTAGAGAAAACTTTGAAGATACCTGAACCGAATTGATCCATTTGGGCCCCCAGACTTTGTAGACTACATCAAGCATGCATATGAACTTAATAAGAACTTATTCCATTAATGTGCATCCGGGTGTATTTCATAGAAATAAGGTTCCTGACTTGAAGAAATTGATCTACAAAGTGAGAATTTATGAATATGCTAAGTATCAGTTTTGTGCCCTAGGGAGCAGGGGATAGCGGCTTGGTGGTCAGGGCAGTGAAACTGCAAGGTACATCATGACTTCCATCTCCCCACTTAATAACCCAGAAAAAAGAAAAGAAAAAACACTCAAGAAATTTCGTTGGCAAGCATGTGAGTGCGTGGGTAGGCAAAAGTTTGAAATTAAGTTTTACTCTGCATGAGATAGAGTTGGAGTCCTATTTACTAGATAAAAATAAAAGGGGGTCTCCAGATAATTGTTCTAACCTTGTCATAAGTAATGGAGTCATTCAAGGCCAGCTTCAGAATAGATGAAATCGCTTCTGGTTGGCCCTAGGTATCACAATGAAAAGATTATGGCATAACCAAGAAGCGAAAGGCACAGAAATAAATGCTTAGAAGTGTAGTCTAATTCTAAATTTGAGAACCAGGTCTATATTTAATTTGGAAAATTATACCATAATCAAAGTGTTTGATGTATGGTACTACATGGGGCACCCCCCTACCATTAGTGATGATGGAGAGTGGAGGTTGACCTTAGTGAGGTCCACTGGAACACTCATCCTCATAATCAACCCCACATTTATGGGAACAGACAGTGGATGCCTCTATGGAGTACTGTATTCCATACCCTGTTAAACAATGGTCTACATTCTGATATTATATTAAATCCGTGATAGCATATGATATCCATTTATTCTAATAAAACTTACTGCAATAACTGTGCTCAAGGTACCCTTGGCATTGTCTGTAGAAAATATCAGAAAACAGTCAATTAATAGATAACATATTTTGGGTTTTCCTTTAGATAACAAAATATCCTTTGTGCACATAGTTCATCTGCAATAATTTTTTTCTAATCAGAATCACAATATTAGTAAAAAGGTCGCTCTTAAGGTAACATTACTCAAGAATTCGGAACGTTGTCTTTGCTGGATAAGATCTGCAGCTTCAGCCACTCCAGTAAATTGATTGCAACTTGATATAATCTCCTATGGAATCATTATCAGTAGAAGCTCATTAGCATATCAATTTGGCGTAAAGAACATTTCTTCCTTTTTTACTGTTTTAATCATGGACCAATAGCCGTAAAGAGACAATATTAAGTACAATAAAATAACAAAGAGAAGAAAACTGCAACTTTTTTTTTGAACGATTAACAGTAATTTTCATTAGATAGTGGAGCAAGAAAGGGGTTTGAGAATAAGATTCGAACCTATGACCTTCAAGAGTAAACCACTGTAACTTTTAATGCAAGAAATTTAAGAGATGTTAAAGAAAAATAAACAACAAAAAAAATCATTCTTCAACTATCAACAAACAAAAAGAAAGATTTAGAAGCAAAGCAATCTCAAAAACCGTTTTTGCAAAGCACTAAGTTTTGTTAAGCATCAACACAGAATGCAACTATGAAATGCATAAATTGGCTTTCTAGCTAGTTAAGAAGTTTTCTGAAAGATAACATAAATTAAATTATATGTCAGCTCAAGATATGTTGATCTTGTCGCTCCAAAGAGTGTGAAAACTCGGGGCGAACAAAATCGGACTCACCACTCTATCCGAGTATCCCAGAGTTGGGTGGCTAGACTCAGGGATCTTAAAAAAAAAAAAAAAAAAAAAAATAAAATAATAATAATAATAATAATAATAATATATATATATACCCAAAAATAATAAATTTATTTGTAATATGCTTTTTTATGTTGTCTATTATTTTGGCAAAGATTGGAAAGTGTTTGGGCCATGAATACTTATTTTTATATATTTCCTTCGTTTTGGATTATTTCTAAAACACCTCTGTCACATTGAGTTTTGTTTAATTTTACTTTTTTATTTTTTAACATTTTTTGGCTTGGCCAGACTTGGCCCTGCTCGGGTAGAGTAACCCATGGCGGAGTCGTCGTTTCAAACACTGGCTACAACAACTCATCAATTGCCAAAAGGAAATCAATATATTGCCTCACAAGAGTTAACTCACAGTAGTAATTTACCAATGAACCAAAAAGGTTAATTGCCAAAAGTAACTGCAGATTAGTAATAGCTATAAGAAACATATAAAACAAACTTTAGAAATTATTTGTGATTAATGCTGAGTAGAACTCCCATTCTTCGCACTCCATAGCTGATTTATTCGTTTAATACTTTCTCAAATAATATGAATTTTTTTTGAGATTCCATGAAAAGAGGCATCAGCAGCATTCATCTCTCTCTCTCT